AAAAAAAAAATTTCCAATTACACTGGGGGGGGGGGCTAACTGCCAACTGGTTGGACCCCTCCCCCATTATTAAACCTGACATTCTCTATCAAAATTTTCAAATTTAACTTACCTAAGATGGAAAAAATTCAAAAAAACTATTAGCGCTATGCCTGCGTCCTGCGGACAATCACTCTTCTCTTCTCTTCTCTTCTCTTCTCTTCTCTTCTCCTCTCCTCTCCTCTCCTCTTCTCTTCTCTTCTCTTCTCCTCTCCTCTTCTTTTTTTTTTTCCCTGATCTGTGCTTTTTTTTTTTTTTTTTTTTTTCATGTTCCTCTTGCAACAGAAGGGAGGCCAAGGCAAAGCGAAATAGATCATGGCAAAAACACCATGTGCGAACCGGAGAATGGCGACAATTCAAAAATTCTCTTTTTTGAAGAATGCATCTTGCAAGCCAGATGCAAAAAAAGCGGAGTCGGAAAGTTTTGACGATATTCAACTGGAGTCAAACGAGATTTGACAAACTTGAGCGGGAGTCAAACGAGATTTGACAAACTTGAGCGGGAGTCGAACAAGATTTGACAAAATTGAGCGGAAGGGACAGAACGGGGAAGAAAAAAGAGACAGCCGGAGTGGAGAGGAGTAGCAGAGTGTCTTCTTCTTCTTCTTCTTCTTCTTTTTTTTTTTTTTTTTTTTTTTTTTTGAGTAGCAAAGTTCCCAGACAGAGACGGACAGCCATGTGTCCTTGTGTGATTTTCTTTTCTTTTCTCTTCTTTTCTTTTCTTTTCTCAAAGTCTTTCGCCTTTCACTACCTACCAACTCCTAAGGCTATATAGAGGGGACCCCTGCAAGCATGTTTGCCCCTTGCCCTAGTGGTTAAGGGACCAGGGTTGGGGCCGCCAGTGGGGGTCCGGTTAACACAAAGACCGAGCATTTCGCCAGTAGCTTCGCCTCCCTTTTTTATCTGTGCCCCACCCCGCATCGAGTAGCAGCACTGTCTAAGGCCAACTCCCCCACACACACCACACACAACCCCCTCACACCCGTGTTGGCCAAAGACCCTACTAATATACCCATCAGAGGTATAAAGAGGGCTACCAACAGCTGGTTGGCACTACAGTCTTCCCCCGAATACAACGCACGGTCATTATAGCTGAATTTGGACCATCTTGCAGCCTAAATTCAGCTATAATGACCGTATGTGTATTCGGGGGAAGACTGTGGTAAGTGCACCGCAGGCGGCCATAGGGCTCGAGCCCACAACCTCCTGAATGCCACTTGATTCAAGTGCCTGACCAACTGACATAGGGCGCTGGATATTTGTGTGATTTTTTAAAATAGAATTTAAAAAAAATCCGCGGAAAACAAAAAAAAAAGCTTCAGTGAAAGTTGCAGATGGAAGTGTGATACCACAACAAGCACGTGCCGTGTAAGGGACTTCAAAAGTATGCACAGTGGTTATGGGACCGCATGGATCTGGCTGATATGGCGGGCAGATACATCGCTTCATTAATGTGGACCGACAGATTCATCCTGTAAATTTGAAGTCTGAGTATGGCACTATACTCCCTTCGGATATTATCCTTTTTTCTTTTTCTTTTTCTTTTTTAAAGCTATATTCTTCTCTCAAATTCACCTCACACTACTCCCTTCGGACATTATCAAGAGAACCTCCACCTTATTAAAATAAAAAATTAAAAAAAAAAAAAAAAAAAAAGAAGAAGAAGAAGAAGAAGAAGAAGCTCCACTTTGGGAGAGGAGGAATGTACCCGAGCCTTGTGGCTCACCTGGCTGAACCGTACACTCGTGTGCCGGCTGTTGATGAACAGGTCATGAGATCAAACTTCCAAGTTCGAACTTCAAAATTAAAATCCTGATCCATACAAAGAGAGGTGAAAACTGCCATTGCATTCCCTGGCGTTGTTCACTCATTATGTTTTGTCATATCCCATCGCACACAGCGATCACCGGGAGCGATGAGCCTTTGCAGTCCTAAGATACGAGGTCACCTCCCACCCTACCACTCGTCAATACTCCCAGCGTACCCCCTAACCCAACTATCTTATCTCAGTGTAACCCACTCAGGACCATCACCCAACCGCTAGGTGGGTGAAACTGGCGTTCTGCCATGTCGTGCATGGAACATATCTTTCTTTTTTTCAGAACCTACCTACCACTGCTCCTTTTTTTTTTTTTTKTTAAGCCCAGGGTTTTATAGAGGCCAGTTACTAGGCACACATTGATCCCCGGAAGTGGTTAGCCATGGTCGCTCTGAGGAGGCGAGGCCACCACCCATCCCATCCTCGCGTCAATACTCCTAGCGCATCCCCTATCCCTACTATCCTACTATCCTACCTCAGTGTGAGCAGCACTCAGGACCATTACCCCTACTTAGTATCGAGGGGAACTTGGACTGAACAGAGGTGACAACCACCAGGGCTAGCTATGACCCAGCCCTGGTTGAAGCATAGTCGAACGAGCCTCCTCGTACGGGTACTTCGGACGCCAGACTCAAGCAATCACCTATTGGCCCCTAAATTGACCGACCATTAACTCGCGCCCTTAACTCTCCCACCACAGACCTAGCTGTATATTTAATGCGGGGTACTTATCATCGAGACGCCTATCATCATCACCAGTTGGAGCTGACCAAGCCACTACTCCTAACGCTATACAAGGGGTACCCCTGCAAGCAGCTTTCTACCTCTCTTCGGTGAAGGGGAGGTTACCTCTCTCGCGGGAGAGGCCTTTAAGGAGGCCTTTAAGGAACCCAAGAAAAAAAAAATGTGGCAAACAGAATGCACATTTCGATCAAGAAAGACTGTAAGGATTGACATTTCATGCAGGTGAGGCCCGGGCAGTTTTCTTTTCAGCTTGTACAATTAGGCCTGGTGGGAGTGGTGCTTTGATTGGACTTATCTGAAAAATGAACAAGGCTCTTTATCTATCTATCTTTTTTTTTTTCTTTTTTTCCGGGTCATGTAACATCATTGGGGGCAGATAACTACCAAGGGCCCCAGATACATCCTCTGCTGCACCAAAGTGCAGCCAGATACATTCTGGAAAGTGCTACGTCACAGTGAAGCTGTGGACTTGGAATGGTTGGCAAGCATTGAATGCTCCCCGTGTCTCACGGGGAGCAGAAGCACAAACAGCCGAGATACTGCTTCCAAAAAAAAAACAAAAAAAAAACAAAGGGCAAAAGAGATACCAAGCTCTGAACATGATTGTCCTCAGATTCATCCACTGTGCCCACAAGTGCGGCCAGATACATTCTAAAAAGTGCTAACGTTACAGGGCTGGCGGGATACATTCTAGAAAGTGCTAACGTTACAGGGGACTTCATTTTTCGAGTTTTTTATTACCTGGCGGGCACTCGTGAAAAACCAGTTTTCTTCCAAAAAATAAAAAGAAGAAAAAGCAACGATCCATCCGTTTTTTTTCCTTCTCGTGTTGCAGTTCCTTTTGTTTTCTCTTTTCCCTCTCGGTGCCTTCAGCCTCCAAACGTTTTCCACATAGCACAGCACCAGGACATCTTACAGTCCATTTGCCCAGTTTCTGTGGGCCCACGCACGTCCTCCTCCATCGCACTGCCGGGCCCTCCCCGAACCCCGAAAACTGCCGCGCGTTAGCGAGGAAGGCCCGCGGCCCATGTATGGGCCTAGTACTGGTGGTTTAACAGTTAGATTCCATTACATTCCATTAGATTCCTTGACACGGTTTAACTGACTGTTAACAGGGTTTGAGCTCTACCCCCCTTTAACCACTCTCAACTGTTAACGGGGTTTGAACTCTACCCCCCTTAACCCCTCCCAACCTTTAAATTCCATTAGATTCCTTGACACGGTAATCAAAACCTCAAGCTCTGGAAAACAGAATGGCAGTGAACTTTTTTTTCTTTTTTTTTTTTTYTTTTTTTYTTTTAACCACTAGTACCTCCGCCAGTGTTGGGAAATTAGGAAAAACTGGCAGTTTTCCCAAACTCCTGAAAATTCGGAGGCCGGGCCCGACGACGGCTGCCGTTGATAAAACTGATCAGCAGCGGTCGTTTCGTTTCGGCCATCCGAAAGGGTCGGAGGCCCACCCGAGGCCCGCTATTTTCCCACGCGGCACTAACAAAGAGTAATGTGAAATGCTCAAATATCCGTTGTGTCCGCCCTTCTTCTCTGTACCTTCTAGTCTTTCACAACGCAAACCCAACGTTGAAAGAAAAAAAGAAAAAAAAAGAAGAGAAAAGGAAGCTCAATTTGAAACAGCGTTCGAGAGGGGAGAGAGTGCACTGCTCTGCCCTGTTCCTTCTGGATTCACCTTTCCATTTTTATTTATTTTTTTGTTATTTTTTTTAAACCTTTCCACTTTTTTGAAGTTTTTTTCGTTGTTTCGTTAACTTCTTTTTTTTTTTTTTTTTTTTTTTTTTATATCTACTGTCTAGTAGTTCCCGCCGAGACTCAAAGGAGGGAATAAGTGAATAACAAATAAAGAAGATGAGATCACATATTAAACATTTAAAAAAAAAAAAATCAAATAACTGCCCAGAGTCTGATTTAGCCCACAGCTTCCCGGTTCTGCTCCCCAGGGTCTGATTTGGCCCACCATGTCTGGGTTCCGATTCCTAGGGTCTGATCTGGCCCACAGACAGCTACTGCTCTTTGTCCGACAACAGAGAGATCGTCGGAATGCATGCACGAATGCGCGGGGGGGCTTGCGCAAGCAAACGAACAGTGTATAAGAACGGGTAAACAGACTGACAAATGGACGGAAGGCTGTGTGCACAGGCGGGTGTGTGGGTATGCAGGTGGCAGGTGGGCAGGTGAGAAGGCAGGCAAGAGGGTGAGCAGGCAGGCAGGCAGGTGGGCAGGTGAGTGGGCAGGCAGGCAGG